AAAAAATTGAATTAAAAAATTACACAAAAAATAGAATTTATAAATAGTTAATTTGATAATAATATCGATATATTTTCTGTCAAATTTTTATAATATCTTCAAGTTTATATTTTATTCAAAAATAAAAACATTATTGTTTTTTCAAAATCACATAAGACTATACTATTTCATCGACTGAGATATAGAATAAAGTAAAATATTAAAATTAAGATGTATTTAATTTCGCTGCATTGCGCGAATATCCTTCTAGTTATATATAATATCTAATGTATTATATAAATATTATATATATTAAATATTATACCATGATAATATAATAATATTATATTATTATTATTATTATTATAATAGAGTAATTATAACATTATGTACCATAATATAATAATGAACAATATTAATATAACGTAATAGTTATAAAATTTTAAAATATAATAATAACAAGGGCAAATTGCATGAAAAAGTAACGTACTTTAACTTGATTCTTATTTTGGATAATGCACTTTCAAAACTTTCATTTTGGTACCTAAGATGTAAAGTTTTAAACATTTAAGTACCCTGGTAACCCGAAAAGACTAATTTTAGACTAAAAAAAAGACTAATTTTAGATTTTAAAAAATCCACGTCACTGACCACGTCAGCAAATAATACCGAGTTGGATACCACATCACTCGCCACATCAGCATGATAATCGGTTAATACTTCAACCAGTTACCCGGATACTTAAATGTTTAAAACTTTACATCTTAGGTACGAAAATAGAAGTTTTGAAAGTACGTTACCCAAAATAGGAATCAAGTTAAAGTACGTTACTTTTTCATGCAATTTGCCGTAATAACAATTATATTGTTTGATTAAAAATTAAAGAAATGATAAAAGACCAAAAGGTCCCTAAGCTAATAATTTTTTTAACGAAAGTTAGTTGAATTGACTCAAACTGAAACAGATAAGTAATCACAAGAATAGAAAATGTAATTAGCTTAAAATATGAATCAGAGTTGCTATGAATGGCAGCCGTAAGAATCAAAAGTGTAATTTACTCCTTAGAACCTTGTTTACGACATGAACTTAGTGGATGGTAAGTAACTAATTATACGTCATTTTGTTAATTAGTAAGGTAATGTTCAAATACATATTAAAAGAAACGTGAAAACTGATTTGTGGAAGCAGTATGTTAACAATTAATTGCTTGATTCGAAGTAGTACTACAACAAGACCATGAAAAAAATATATTTATGTATGTTGATGACGTGTACGCATTTACCCTCTGACAGAAAATGAAACATTATGTTTAATGCTAACAATGACCTAATTAA